TTCCGACCACTGGGTCATCTGCTTATGATAACCTCGGTGGACAAGGGGGGTCTGAAACCAAGGGTGAGCAGGGACTCCTGTACTTAAGTCCTAGATATTCTTGAGTAGGCCTTCTAATTATTTCTTGAGATTTCATTCTTGACATAATTTCTCTGGGAGACCTACCTTTGACCCTTCCCTGCTGCCATAAAGTGTTCCTGACGCCCTAGGACATGCTGCCCTGAAGAGCCGAGGCAGAGATCATGTCTCCCTTGAACTCTGCATTCCCAGCCTCTGCCAGTGCCCATCTATCACAGAGCTTTAAAATATCTGTTCAGTAAATGAATTAACCTATATGTAGGGCTTTATATTTATCAAGGCAGAACAATAAAATCACACTTTGAACTCAAAGGTAGGTTTAGATCCCAAGTCTGGCACTTTCTTGCTGGGTGGACCTTCCAAATCCCTTAACCTCTGAGCCTCATTTCCCCTATCTGTAAAAATCCCCCTCTACCTTCCAGGTTTCTCTTAGAAATAAGATTCACAATGGGGGATACACAAAACAAAACAATTTCAAATTAGGAGAAACATTATTGAGAGAATAAACTGATAAGAGTAATCGTCTTCAAACATTTGGTCTCAGGACCCCTTCACAAATTCTTAGGTATTATTGAGGTCACCAAAGACCTTAGGTTTATACATGTTGTATCTATTGATATTTGTCCTATTAGAAATTAAAACTGAACAATTGTTAAGATATTTATTTAAAAATGTATCTGTCACGTTAACATAAATTTTGTGAAAAATATATTCTCCAAAAAAAGTTAAGAGTTTTCACTTCTACAAATCTTTGAAATCTCTGACTTAATATGTAAGGCCGGTGGATCCTCAAATCTGCTTCTGGATTCTGATTCTCTCTGTTGTAATGCGCTGTTTATGAACGAAACATGGAGACAATGCAGCTTCACGCAGCTTGGTCCCATCACACCTGGGTTCATGCTAAGGCGTCAGCAGTTTCGCCCCTAACTGCTCCTGCACCATCCCAGCGACAGTGAAGCACTGGGGGAGCCAAGCTGTCTTCCTGTCACTGTGAGCACACCCTGCAGACCCCTGCGAGTGTGTCCAGGCCCTCCCG